AATTATAAAAAGACTCATTTGTTAATTTGTCCAGTTGAGATAAAATCTGGATTTGAACTTTGACCCCTAAAATATGACCAGTTTTGACCTAACATGAACTCTGGGTATATGGATAGCCACAAAGTGTGAGGTTTATCATTTCTCTTTAAATATCCGAGGTCAAGGTTACAGACGTGGAAAAACAGAAGGCTAAAAATTCTCAGAACTCTGTACCCTTTCCTCTTACAATTCCTTGAATTTTTAGGAAGAAACTCTTTTCACTGTAACTTCTTAGGATGAAAGGGCGTAATTAAAGTGCTTTTACTGAGTGCCGGAAAGGAATCACAGAATCACACATGCGCACTAGATGCCTGTAAACCGTGACTAGTAGAAATAACGTTTACCAAAATAATCAAAATTCAGGAGTGGTCCAGCAGGAAATATGTAGATTAGAAAATTGAGATGTTGACTATACATTGTATACATGTATGTGATGTTTTCCTCAAGATATGATTGCAGGGGATTTTGTTAAAAATAACAATTAAGGGCTTGTTCCTTATTACCAAGTCAGCCGAGCAAATTACAGTATTTCTCTTATTTTAATGTCAATATAGACTTTTTTGACTGTCCCTACATGTATAGAAGTGAATGATTTTGTTGTTGTTTTTGTTGTTATTGGGTTTACCCCATGTGCTGTATTTTATTCTTTTCGTCCTTATCCCCAAGATGTCTACAAATATTTATACTTACTGGAATACTGGTCCAAAATTTTCTAACAATATGAGTTGATCGTTTTTAACTAAAAGGTCCAACAAGCTTGGTTTTATTGGTCCCAAAGGTCGAAATATTTCATGATGCACTCTGATATTTTTGATCCCAAATGTTTATGTTTAGAATCAAATAAGCTTGGCTGTCTGTCGTACTGCTCATAATTGACCCAACTGATCCTAAACAAGTGGATCTAGTTGTTGTTTGTTGACAACAGGTCCTTCACAAGTGGACTTGTTTGTTGTATTGTTGTTTATTGACAATAGGTCCTCATCAAGCGGAGTTATTTGTCGTTTTATTGTTGTTTATTGACCCAACAGACCCTAAACAAGCGCGGAGTTGTTTGTCGTATTGTTGTTTATTGACCAAACGGGTCCAAAACAAGCGGAGTTGTTTGTTGTTAATTGACCCAAAAGGTCCTAAATGTCTTATTGTTGTTTATTGACCCAACAGGTCCTAAACAAGCGGAGTTGTTTGTCATATTGTTGTTAATTGACCCAAAATGTCCTAAACGTCTTATTGTTGTTTATTGACCAACAGGTCCTAAACAAGCGGAGTTGTTTGTCATATTGTTGTTAATTGACCCAAAAGGATCTACACGTCTTATTGTTGTTTATTGACCCAACAGATCCTAAACAAACGGAGTTGTTTGTTGTATCGTTGTTTGTTGACACAAAAGGTCTTAATCAAACAAGGTTGTTTGACTTTTTATTGTTGTTTATTGATCCAAAAGGTCCTAAACTTTGCTGTATTGTTGTTTATTGACCAATCAGGTCCTAAAGAAGCTGGGTTGCATGGCTTATAGATTTAAAGCCTGTCCAACATCCACATTTAAGTCAGTGTTGTAAGTTCTCAATTTGCAATCAGATTTCATCATTTTTAGCTATGTCTTTATACGAATGTCCTCAACACTAACTCAGGGATGAAAGTATTATAAGTTTATGATTATGATAAATAAAGTTTGATAAACAATACTTATAGGTATTTCCTGTTTCAATGCAACAGAATGCTATCGGACTTTGCATGCAACTATTTAGTCAATTTGTATCATTTCATTGTAAATGACATCTAATTATTCTTAGTCCTTTCACGAACAATGGAGCTGGAGTCAAGGCGCATCAGAAGTTATCTATTCAAACCCAGCTTACTGATGAATATTAAAATAGATAAATTGCATGTAAACATTGCATGTAAATTAACGCATGTATAAATGTTGTTTACCAAGAAGACCTATCTCTCGAAATATCCCTCCATTTTAGGATTATTGTATTTCGGATGCCATCGTCCCTTTTTGCAGTAAAGCATGAAGAGTTAAGAGGAACTGAGGGCTTTGTAGACTGACTAGACTCTGTTGATGATAGATAAGGTTTCGGGCTATGGATCCTGGTCCACAGTCTAGTATACACGGAGTGGTGCACTCTGTGTCTAGAACAAAGAACATTTTGCCGTATGCTGTGTTCTACTTTACGACATGTTGTTGTTTTTATGCCCTCATTGCTGGACCCGTCCCAAATTATTTAAATGTCTGATTGGGTCATAGGGTTTGTACCTTTACAATCGTGAGTAAAGGGCTTCCATGGATCGCTGAGCTGGACGAACTATATCGTCCAAAAAACCCACACTATGGTATATATACACATGTATGTGTATTCTTAAAATAGACTTAAAGTTCTTCCAGATCCGCGTATAATTCTCTGTTTGTAAACAATAGCGCGTGTCCTGTCAGCCCACGGAGGGAAGTTATATGACGTAGGTGTCTCACTCCATTTAAAATTTCTGACTGTGATCTAAAGAGAAGCGATCATTAAATGTTTCCTTTGGCCAAACAAGGTACTAAGACATACGTCAGTTTCTACAGAAGTAGAACATACGCCAGCAAAGGTTAAATTTGACTTTTTTTTTCATAATAACTGTGTACTTCATAATTTTACAGAACTTAAACATGAAAATAGATAATTCATATAATATGCATACATGTACCTTCTTCGACAGAAATATATTGTTATATTTACATTTCCAATGTCTTTGTCTGAGATAAAATTACAAATTGTAAAAATACTTTATTTCTACATAAATCTACTGGTTCATCGATAGGCGCGGTTAAAAAAAAAATCACGTGCGAGGCGGGACAAATAGAGACAGAATCGGGGCTATTCGCACGGGAATCAGGAGCATGTAAATATAAGGAATAACTGTCAGATTTTTTGGATTCATGACGATGATCAATCGATTGGCTTGCGTGATAATTTTATGCATAAACGCCTTCGGCGTTTATGCAAATTATCACGCAAGCCACTCGATTGATCACATCATGAATCCAAAAAATTAGACAGTTATTCCTTAAATGAATATTATTCAAAACAGACCTTTCATTAATAAATTTTACCTTGATTTGGTCTTATCGTGGGGTACTTGGGTGTCAAATGGATTATAACATTGTTTTCAGTCCAACAAATGACATTCCTTACAACTAGGGTCAAGGTTACAAGTTAAAGCCTCACCTTTTCTTTTACGACACGTGACGCTACTGCCGATGACGAATCGACGCATTTAAAATTTCGTCACGTGCTAAAAAAATACGCAGAATGCTCTTCACGCTTATAGGAAGAATCTAAAATTTTATCTTTTCATGTTTAGATTTATCATAAAATTTGATTTTATTTCTTGGAGGTCAACAAGATGCCATGTTTGTTTATTTCACCTGTTACCAAATATTGGAGTGGTTGGGCGACACAAACTCCATTAGAAAAGAAGGTACATACATGTACATTATGGGAAGTACTCCTTTACTATTTATTACAGCACCTTTCGGTGAACGGTCTATTTTTAGCTGTGGTTGTACACAATAAACATTGTTTATTGTCTTTGAACTGAAATTGACAGGTTTGCCACAGAAATAAAAGTAGGCGCCCACTCTCGCATGGACGTCGTGCACTCTATACGGAAATAAAACAAGGGGATGAAAACGCCGTTATTCTTAACAATATCCTAACATATGTTGATATCTATATAGTGGTTTTAGCTGAGGATAATTTTCCCAAAATCCGAGGATTATTAATTAATTATGTATTTTCGCTATGCAAATAATTAAATAACATCGTGCCCTTTAAAAGATTGATTGTCTGGAATTTGGTTTTAATCCGAGTTTATTTTTACACAAGATTTGGTCGATAGGAAATCCCTACGCTCGGTGGCGTTCAGTCAGTTTCTATTCATATTTCGCCACAACTATGTACCCAGACACGGCCACCCTCCTCTGCAGATGGTCCCTGACTCACAAAGAAACTGATTCACGTTTAAATCTTTTGTCCCGTGACACACATTATGTGGTATGCCTTACGATTATTTAAGCATTCGATCATAAAATATTTAAAATTTTTAACACTTTGCGTCAGTGGGTCCACTTCGTAGTCTACATCACTTCAGTAAACTTTAACACGCTCAGTTTTTCTGTTATCTCTCACTGACACAATACAGGTAAAGTGTAAAAATGATCAAGCACTAACAATGGATTGATTAAATATGCAGAGGTGTGGTGAGCTTGGTTTTAAGTCCTTAGTTCTTGAATAACCTGTCCTGTCATATTCCCTCTGATCGCTCGGCAAAATTCATGATGCGCATTTTGTGGTCACCTAATTTATGCTTCTCAAGAATTATTTTAAGCAATTTTTTAAAATGATAAACAGGAAATTAAAAGTTAATAATTTGCAATAACTATCTTTAATCATTATACAATTTGTAGAGCTGCCATTAATGTACTGTAAAAATGGCCTTCAGAAATCATCTGAAGATTTTCATTTCATAAGCATATAAACATGATAAATGCTAGGTTATATAGACACAACCGTAATGATTACATAAAAGGGTATTTGAAATATCTGTAGGCCTATATTTAATAAAGGTTTTGAAATCTTAATATAGATTTACTCTGCTTATGTAGTAAGTGTATTGCACACAATTATAATTGCGCAACGGTGTGTCGTACAGCCTGTGATAACAAGTCATTTCTGGTCATTTTTCGGTTCATGAGTCAGCGCTGGTGAATGAACCTAGTAGCTACTATGACGACATTCATGTTTTCCTTTATTTGTGCAGGTCAATTTATAAATAGAACTCGTAGTATTCGGGAAAATAACAGCGTAACTTTTACAACCAAGAATTTGATTGGATATGTCGAGTAGAGCCACTTGTAAGCTTCGTTCTGATTGGTGGATGCCCGAGACAAGCACGTCATACGCCTGAAAAGAGGATGTAACATGTTAACCAAGTCATTAGACATTCACAACTCGTGGTGATCACTTCGGTAATTGTACGGAGTGATTAAACAAACTTTTAAATTTTATTGTTTACATTTTTTGGATTTAATTGTGAACTTAAATGGTCACCATGAGCAGCGAAGCTCAACGTCTGATGGCTTTGTCTCTTGGGAAGATTGCTGCTTCTAGACAGCAACGTGGGGGCATTAACCTACACAAGAACTTGCTTGTCGCCAGTGTGTTACATAAAGCCAGGACTGCTTACATGATGGAGAATTTACAAACTGTGCTTGCAAACAGGAGAGCGCAGGCGGAGGCGAAGGAGCAGGCCAAGAAAGAACAGAGACTTCAGATAAGTACGTCTTCAGAAAATACTACGAATTCTAAAGATAGCAGTACGCGTGACGCTTCAGTCGAGGTCAAAAGGTTGAGAGTTGAAAACGGAACACCCATTCATGAAGACAAAGAAAATTCGCCTCCTACCAAATGCTTACGGGTAGAAAACGCCAAAATTGAGTCTGAGAAACCATCGGAACGAGCGGAACCTTGCCAAGAAAAAATCGAAGCGAATAAGCAAGTTGCGCCATTGGCGGATGCAGGTCATCGTACTGAGGAGAAAGAGGTCACGGATTACGTCAGCAAACCTACACAAAACTGTACTAGGTGCGCTTCTAAGCGGAGGCGTTCCCTTGAAAATGTGTCCGATTCTGACAGTTGTGTTTTGGCCAAAAAAGCTAAAATGGAAAATGGACCAATTAACGAAGTGAATTCTGACAATTCAGTTGAAAACATGCAAACTGAACCTTCTCAAATTACGAATCTCGTCAGCATATTCAGCACAGGATTCGATGGTCTTTGTGAAGACTCATCGAAAGAAAGTGAAACAATGGACTCCAACAACAATGAAAAAACATTTACTGCGAGTGAAAATTTATTCTACGCAGTTCAATCGATAAATGGATTTACAATAAAAGACAATGGCGTCTCCACGTGCAGCACGGAGGTCATTGACAACAGTCGTGACTCGATCTCTATGGCAACACCGATTGCATTGACCGTGTGAACTCTTCGTCCTGTGGGCGGAACAGATTGTGACAATAAACACTGCCTATTTATTGGTAATTACTCAATTGTCCACTTTCTGCAAACAAATCGCTCAAGGGCTACCGTTCCGCCGTTACGGTTCACTTGCCACAAATAGCAGACTGTGTTCATGCATCGTTGACCTTTTGGTGCCGAAGCATTTGCTGATGATTCAGGCCCAGGCTGACTCGCGGCACCACGCAGGGGATTGTATCAATTCACGTTGTGAAGAGTAAACAGATGAGTGACGCGACCTATTGATAATACAGATTACAAATCAACAGCTCGCATACCAATGACTATTTATTTATTTATAAATCTTTTATCAGATTTATTTTTATTGTGAAACACAAACTTTATCATTATGCAATGAAATTGCAATGCAAATTTCATGTACATTTATTTGCCACATGTGATCTCAGAGAAATCAAATCGCTGTATTTAACTGATAGGGAGCAAAATTATTCATTTTTATTTCTTTTTTGGAGAAATTTTATATTTAAACGAAATATGAAATCGACCAAAGCTTCAAATATCATCACTGTCATGATGGATGAATTTTAAAGCGATGACGAGATTTTTTTTTTTATGGATGACTGGTTCATCCTTGTGGGACAATGAATGTAAGGCGAGAGAAAGCGTGACTTTTACCGGAAGTGTGTATTAGTGCTGTGAATCATTAAATCACTGTATATATGAATTGTAAACAAGTGAATATGCAACTGGTTTGTGAGATATTTTAATGTTATATATTTATTGAACAATGTCGAAAAATTGTGAAAAAACCCCAAAAAATCAATTAAAAATTCAAAGAATTAATATGCTGACTTTGTCTTTATTTGGACAATTATTAGAGTTTTTGAATATACAGAAGGCGCCACTAATAAAGGGAAGAACAATGTATGTGGAGAACATCTGGTAATGCAGATGTGGTTGATCGGTAGGGACAGCTGTGGCTTTGTCACAGGCCATCAACGTTTGTTTAGCAGGTTTAAACGTGTACTGGAATAATAAAGCAAAAACGAAACAAAGGGATTGGTATCTGAATGGGAATATTTATACAATAACACAAATGCTGACAAAACAATATGTGGAAAAAGACCATTTTATTATATGTAGTGTATCTGTTTAAAAAAAAGCCAAGAGCAATTCGAACAGGATTGGATTGTTTACAACACCGACTAGTAAACATGTTGACGTGGTACAGTTCAGTATTTGACCTCGATGACACACCTCTAACGATAATTCCAATGTTAAACAACTTATTGTTAAATGATTAATTCTCAAAAACCAAAACTTAAACTAATAAGAACCCGATTTCCCGGTAATTCAGCGATAAAATCCAGTATTACTAACTAGGTCACTGTTATAACAGGGATTTCCCCTTCCCATGTCGTATTATGCAAACATTCTATAAATAAACAAGGGATTTTTGTTCGTTTTCCTTACCTCAGAGATTACGCTTTTGTTTTTCTAAAAGAAAAACTCCAGAATCGAATCCATTTCTTGTACTTTCACTACATTTACATTTGGCATAATTAACTTTATTATTTAAAAAGATATTTTAAGGAAAATATTACATTTTCTGAAAGATCATATGAGGCTTTAGACTTATAACTTCAATTCACATATAACTGGGTGGGCAGTATTAAGCGGGTCATGTTCTCACGAGCTTTTCCAACCTAGAATATATATATATATATATAATATAATTATATATATATTCATTCCAACACAGAAATTGACATACTTTGGTTTATTCCACCTACCAAAAAATTTCCAGATTCCAAAGAAGTATTTATTACGTAAATTCATTGAAGCAATACGTAAATAAATAAAACAGATAACAGGTTTACATTTATGATACAAATATGGAAATAAGAAATAAATTGAAAAGTAATTATCAAATTTTGTGCTTTGCAAAACAACGTTAGATGTATTGCTATTATAGTCTATTCTATTTTAATGAAGGCATTATTTATCAGAAGAAAATAGCACGTGTTCCTCCGGATCATTGAATATAATTGCATAATACAATAGTCTGTGCGATTTCCCTTTTATTGCTCAAGGCACGTATCTTATGACAGAACAACAATTAAACATGCTATTTGCTATATACAAATTACTGCAAATAGACGATTTAAATTTCAACCTGGAGGTGTACTTGCAAGCACGTGCATGCTATCACGTATTAGTACCAGCTAGAACTTTCTTTGAAAATCAAAGTTGTAATATTTGTCACCATCTTAACACCATAATTAATGACAGTGGTGCAAAATAATGGAACTTTGACCCACTTTTTCATTCTATTTATTTAAAGCATCAAAATAATGTAGTAATGAAATAAAGATTCTTAAATAACCTGTATTCAAATAATTATGTCTGTAATGTATATCATTACCTACAGGTCTATAACGTATATCATTACCTATAACGGTCTATAACGTATATGTATCATAACCTATATAACGTATATCACAACCTATATAACGTATATCATAACCTATATAACGTATATCACAACCTATATAACGTATATCATAACCTATATAACGTATATCATAACCTTTCACTGCTTACCTCTTTTACACACTATAGCATCATTTTGCACTTTTGTTGACTCAATTACTATAGAGAATCTTCTCAAACCATTGGTGTCAACAACATACTTTTCTATACATTAACAAAACTCAAGTGCATGAAACATGAACATGGTTATACTTTCTCTCCAGGAAAGCGCAAACCCGAACCCGATCAGTATAGGTTCGCACTTTGGCAAGACAGTGCGACTTTTTTTTCTGGTGTGTAGAAGTTGAACACGGTATCTAAACTAAATTTATCGGCGGCGGATAATTACAGCGGATAGAGTTTGTCCTCCCACTCCCGTCCGCTCCTTAGTACAGACAATAAATGCTCTTTGACACGTAGAACACGAAATCGATATCCGTTTCCATTTCATTCGTGTCTACAGCTGTAGAAACCCATTCTCTCTTTGAAATTGCTGACGTCACATCCGTAATAAAAGTGTCGTCATGAGCTTGTTCAATATTCTATCTTTCACATTATTTGCTATAAGATGCATAAAAAACAAGTATTCCTTTTAAAGAAAGTTAAGATGTCAAATTTGTGGCCTATGTAATGGCACATCTTAATGTTCAGAACAGTCTACCTTATAATTATCTACTTACTCGAAACACCAAATCGTCGGATACCCACGGTGATCTCGTCTTTTACTCATCACCCGTGGGCAAACTCACCGAAAAATCGCCGTATGTAATTGATATTCGCGGGTCGTTTGATTGGCTGCTCCACAGAGTCGCAAGTCAACAAATTTTAAAAGTTAAGTTACGTACGTATGTTCGGCAATGACAAAAACGTTTCCGTAGTTGACACACGGATTGCAAATAAATCCACTCACCGGTGCATTTTGCATTCTGAAGTGTTCCAATTTTCTGATTGGTTGTCTTTAATCAACAAATTAGCATATTTTACAACGATATTTCGGCGAGTTTGTCCACGGGTGATGAGCTAAAGACGAGATCCCCTTGGGTATCCGACGATGGAAACACCCGTACTTTCACGATAGGTAGACTGGTTCCCTGGCTCATCCACTGCAAGGCAGGAGAGCCAGGTGGCGTTCAATCTAATGCTCTTGTATGATTGGTCAGCACTATATTCGCTCAAAAATGGTCAATTTCTGAGTCTTTGCCATTAGACTAATCACGGATATAAACGTCAGCCAAATACGACGTAATAATGATATAATATATCTGATATATTTAAGCATTGAATTGTTATTATTTGAAAGATGTAGTCTCATTATTGCAATGGTGTGTGCAAACAAATGTGTGTTACTGAATTTGTTTGCATGCATTTATAAGACAATTTAATACTTATTTAAATTTTCATTTTTCAATTCCCGACCTTCTCTGCAAATGTGATTTATATTTCAAAATCCCTGTATTATCCTTCGGGTAAGTAACAATTAATGGAAGAGCTATAAATGTTCAATGTGAGCATGAATTACTTGCACGGTGTTCAATGTTTGTGACGTCAAAACAAAAATCGTAACTTAACCTTACGACCTCTCCGTCTGTGTTATGATGTTTTGTAAGCCAGGGGAGGTCGGTATGGTGGCAAATTTCTGCCCCCTACATGCAAGATAAATTATGTTAACATGCAACATAATTATGTACAACATAAAACATGCCCCAAGATCCTAATTATTGAGGGTCCTAAACTTCTGAAGTATTGGCTAGAATCACTTCCTCCCTGGTTCTGTTAGAGGGTGGTCAGATAATTGGTGTCACGAATGGATTCACTTTTGGTACGACGGCTTCAAAAGCTCAGCAATTTTGATGTTGATCATTCCCAAAGACACTTCAAACTTTTCTTGCTCAATTTCTGAAAGAAAAGATTACCATAAAGATGTATGATATCTATCTCATGTATAAATATATGACAAATAATAAACTAAAGCTATATAAGACAATTGGTTCTTTCAACCTGGCAGATCAGTTTAATACTGTAGAATAGGAATTTATTATCTTGTAATTTTTTGTTCAGATTAGGATTGATTTCTTTTTAAACTAATGGAAGTTGTGAAATTAAAAAAAAATAAAGAGACATGATTGTGTCTAAGTTAATTAACCTTGAATATGAGAGAGAACATTGTAAATTACATAAACTATGTACCCTTAAAAACATTCAGCAAATAAAGTTAAGGTATGAAAAAAAGTACATTAGTAAATATAATTTATATACCATATAAAACATTCAGTTTTGCCTTGTCAATGGCTCGTCTTTTGTCTCTTAAGCTTCTGATTAAAAGCACCTTGAACAGGAGTTTGGACGCCTATGCTGCCTTTGATATATTAATTATCCTCCATATCAGCTTACTCCGTTAACTGACCCTTGAAAAGAGGAAAAGACAAATTTATAGGCATATGTAATTGCTTTAAATGCACATTGGTTAATTTACAATGTAACAAAAATATAGACAAAGCAAATAACATAAAGTGAATATATAGAATACATTTGTTCTAGGCTTCAAACATGCGAATACAAGTACATATACTTTATTTTTGAAAAATTAATAAAATATTAAATAAACTGTTATAAATACATGTAACTTCCATGCCTCAACAATTCAGTATTGAGTAAGATAATATATTAGTACATGTATACATGTACTTCTTTATTTCTGGAAATTTATATCTGCGACTAAGGTTATAGGTTTGTGTAAGAATATGATGAATGACATTGACAAGGCGTAGGTAAAAACTTGTGAACAGGACAGAGAACTGACATAGGAAACAAGTTAAAAGCAACAACTTCTTAAAATAACTAAAGTACATTTGAAAGAGTGGAGTCTAAGGTTCATAATAACTTTTCTCAATGCCTGGCTAACATTGATAAACACATAATTTCAATTCTTTTGATTTTATTGATTAGGAAAATGATTAAAAAATCTTACCTTTGTGTAAATTTCCATACAGCTCTCTCGCTCTTGTCCTTTTTATGAGCATTCCTGTAAATAATGCATGCATGATTTTATGTCATAGAGTATAGTCATTTTTAATATTTATACTTAAATAAAATGTAAAATGATTATGCATGTAGCATTTAGCATGTTTAGATTACCTGTCAAAAGTTATAATTGTTATGCATTATTAAGGAATTAAGAATATAAACCTCTTGTTACTTGTTCAATAAAAAAAATCTTATGCTATAAAACATTAATTAATAAAAACAATGTTAGTTTATTTGTGCTGAATGATAATTTGAGCAGGCTCTCACCATTCTCACAAGCTAGGTGACTGAATGACTTAGCATCTACATCTACATATTAGGACATTTCATCAAACTTGATGATTATATGCCGGCGCTGTGCAAATCGAGTACTTCAGCTATAAAATAATAAAAGTAAGTGCTGTGAATGATCATGAACATGCATTAAAAAATAGATACAATTATTTACAATGTACTCTGTAAATGTAAGTAGTACATGTACTAAGGAATGTTATTAGCTAATAATCCGGACCAGAGTTCTGAACTGGCCCCAAAGAGGCTGCCGACACCACTGAGCATGGAAGAGAAATAAATTTCCATAATGGGGGGGGGGGACTATATTTAAATTATCTGTGCAAGTACTAAAGATCTGAAAGTAAGGAAGACTTGAAATGCCTTTGTTGGTGGTAGTCTGTGAAACTAAATAGAGGCTTGGGTCTACCGCAACTAAGTTGTGCACAACTTTATATCATATAGACAGCTTATAGAGCATTATTAGTCTACCACCGTCTACACGTTTTTTCTTTGTTGTAAACATGGTAAAGATAGCCAATTTAGATGTTGCATGTTGCAACATATTGGAGACACTAATAGTGTTATGATGTCTGTGTACGATGTAACATGGACTGTCGTGGCGCAATTGGCAACGTGCCACTAGCATATATAGCGAGGTCTAAGGACATGTACGAACGGAGGAAATTCGGGTTGAAATCCACACATTGTTCAAACATATTTTGATAAGAGATGTTTAGAGTTGTACAATAATTATTAAAGAAATGAAACTCGCCCTAATGGTTTCATCGTCGGGCATTCTATGTGTGTGGTGCCCAGACTGAGGAACAGTCAATTATCCATTCAACTTCAAGAACACATAAAATACTGATTACTGTACATTGTACCTACCGGGTCTTAAAATGTCTGCATCTTTTGTCAAAATACAAATTCCATTCCAAGCTAATAATGACTGCAGTTCCCTTCTTCGTGACACTCTCTTTCCTTCTGTCCAACAATACAACATGGCAGCCGAATTGTTGAATTTTGGCGGGCTGTAGTTTAAATTAATTGTTCATCGAGCCCGACATCGATCCCGACGTAATTGTACTATGAGCCGACAGTTTAAGAAAAAATTCTAAGTTATTTTCCACAGCTTTCCAGAGCAGAAAATGTCTAAGTTTCTCATTTTATCAGCTTTTCCATAGAATTCCACAACTTTCCAAACCTCAAAATGTCTAAGTCCAAATTTGTTATTCAAATTCCAAAAGATTCCAAAAACTTCCAAAAACACTTTTAGACTCTTGTATGGAAATGTTTGGAATTCCATGGAATTCCAAAACTTTTCCAAACCCTTTGGAAAATCTACATTAGGGAACATAATTATTTTGTTAATAAGTCGCATGTCTGCATAATTATGTTGCATGTTAACATAAATAAGTCGCATGTCACCATAATTCTGTTGCAGCTTGCTTGTATGATGTCGTATACCGGCTTTAGTAAGTAATTTACCAACATTAAAATTAGATTCTCAAAAAAGATTGGTAACTTGCATGTCAACATAATTATTTTGCATGTTGACATAATTATCTTGCATGTTGACATACTTTTCTTGCATGTTGACATAATTTATCTTGCATGTAGGGGGCAGAAATATGCCACCATAGGTCGGGGCCACAGCAAGAGATCAAAGTTTTACATTGGAATATATAGGGGCATGTTTTTTTTAAAAATCTTCTCCTCAAGAACAACTGGACAGTAGAAGATGGAAGTGTAGCATGATGTAGATTCTAAATTGTTGAAATCATGCCCCTGGGGGGGGGGGGGGGGAGGGGGAGGGGGTCACAATAGGAGATTTTAAGTTTTACATTAGAATACAAGGAAACAAATCTTTAAAAATCTTCTCAAGAACCACAGGACCAGGGAAAAATGAAACTTATGGTAAGGCTTCTTGACATAGTAGATTCAAAATTATTTAAATCATCAACACCATGGGTGGAATGAGGTCATACGAAATCAAAGTTTTACATTGGAGCAAAAGGCCCATAGGCCAAAACGCTCACCTGAGTCGACAGGCCCTGCTGTTCTTCAGCAGGAGATTTTTTTCTATTATATATTCCAATGTAAAACTTCAGCAGCAGATTTTTTCTATTTTTTATTGCAATGAAAAACTTTGATTACCCACTGTGACCTCATCCTATTCTCGGGGGTCATGACTTGAACAAACTTGAATCTACACTACCTGGGGATGCTTCCAAATAAATATGATCAATCAGGGCTTTGCTGTTCCTGAGAAGATTTTTTAAAAGATTTTTCCCTATATATTCCTATGTAAAACTTTGATCCCTCATTGTGACCCCACCCTACCCCTGGGGGTCATGATTTGAACAAATTTGAATCTACTCTATGTTATGAAGATTTCACATATAAAAGTTTCAATTTTTTTTGGTCCATTGGTTTCATTTGAACAAACTTGAATCCCCTTCACCAAAATTGCTTGTGGCACGTTTGGTTGAAATTGGCCCAGTGGTTCTGGAGAAGGTCGATAATGTGAAAAGTTTACAGACGGACGGACTACAGACAAAATGTGATCAGGAAATCTCACTTGAGCTTTTAGCTCAGTTGAGCTAATAAATAGGGATTTTTTTTTAAAAAAAAAATCCTTCTCAAGGACCATTGGAACTGAAACGACGAAACTCATGTGAAAGCTTCCCTAGACAAAACCGTTTTCTTAGAGACTTTAGGCAGTATTGTTACATTTCTTTTATCTGAGATGGAAAAAACTCCTAAATTTATACCCGACTTTCTTCGTTTTTCATTAAAAATTACAGTTTAAAATATGTTTTTTCGTCTAGTTTATCAAAAAATTATGTCCCGAAACACCCTATTTTTGCAAGCCATATTTGTAAAGGATCATTAAAAGAACTCGTTTCTCAATTTGAAAAATCTGTAGGCATTTTTCATTTACTAGATCTTGACCTTAAGATAGAACAACTGATTTGTAAACATATCCAAGTTGTGAGGATTCAATTCATTTTTTTTAACCTATGCACGATAATATTAGATTTTGTCAGTGTCCATGCATTCGATTCCGACTTGACAGAGTATCTTTTTAAGGTTCCTTTATTTAGTCTCCCTGCACTAGTTTTATGCAGTGTCTTTAGGTAACATTAATAAAACAACACAAAAAAGCAATCAGCATCATATTTCAGATTCAATTAATGTCAACTCATAAAATGATGTTTATTGTTTGTTTAACCAAAGATGGATACACTAATGCAGGGAAAAAACAGACACAAAGATCTCAAAAGAGGTTTTTAAGTGAATCACAGCATACACTAAATATTTTATTAACAACTTATGATTCAGCATTGCTAAAGAAAAATGCAATCTCTCAGGTTCTTTCAATTTGAAAGATACTTTCAAAGACTATACAGCCTACGAACTCAAATTTTATTCCACGACCCTTAATTTTTTGTTTATTTACAGACAATTTGGAATAAAGAAGATTAAAAACAAAATTTTTGGATGAGCTTTTAATGACACTGACAATTGATTAAATCTGAAGTTTTGACCAGTAGCTTTATACGAGCAGACTGGCAGACGACAGGTGCTATACACGGTGCACGAGGAGTCTACCCTGGTCCCTTTTTGAGGTCACACACCGGGTTGTCGAGGACAAAGGTCATTCCAACACCTGAGTCAGACAACGTAAAAACTGTCCAAAATGGATGCCTATTAAACCTTTTAGTAAGAGTCAACAAAGATGTTTTTTTTCTTACATTTTAATTATCATGAAGTCCATATTAACAAGTCTGTAAAAAATACAATATATTTCTCTTAATTAATCACCAAACCGAGAGGCACCGCGCTAGTCATTACTGGGTGGTACTATTTGTCTATCATTATCATCAAAGGTTAGATCTATTTTGAGACTGTGTGTGATATATTTAACAATAGTTGTGTCTACTGTAGCTATTTTTACTTTCGCCAACCTATGCGTTGTTCATTAGATGTTTAATTAAACAGTCATTAGAAGAATGCGAAAAATGTCACAAGCACACTTTCAAAAAGCTCCCCATTTCTACTGAGTCATGTTTTACAAATGCATGCAGAACAATTATGATAAGTTTAATCAACAAAAAAGTAAAAGGCATATCAAATAAATATACTGTAGGCTAGTCATCCTCTGTTTGTCAATTTATTAAATTCCAAAAACTGTAAATAATTTAGCAATAGAAGATTAGAAAAACAAAACCTACGCCCAGTTTCCATAGCAACTTTATGTGCACTCATTCTGAGAGCTACTGTTTTTCTGTTGGGACGAGGGGCATCGCCATAGATCCTAATGACGTCATAACATGGTGTCCAATAGAGACTGGCGTCAGACGTTGCCATGATAAGATACCTATGTAATTCTGTTGTCAATAAAAATGTGGACTAAGTTTATAATGGATCACATTACATTGCTATTTACATGTATACTGTTAAGTAAAGGAGCGCGTTAAGTTATATCGGTGTGGAGGAAATCAGAAATCAATACGACTGAGCGCGGGTTTAACAATGATTTTAGCTGTATCATAAGTTTCGGTTCGTTACACTCGCGTTACACAATGAGAGAAGAGTTGTCCTGGGCAACATTGCAAAATTAAAAGTGTACCAGGTGACTTGATACCGGATCCGTGAAACGGAAAAATAAATACCGAGTCTCATCTTGGCCAAGCCAGGTGTGAAGAAAGCACCTATAT